TGGCCTGCTGTGTTCATCCAGCTCTACACCTTGTTATCTCTAAAAGTAGATGACAGTTGTTTTGGGGATAGGTTGTGGAGGCCATAAGCATCTCAAAAGTTTATCATAAGCTGTGATAGGGATTATGCTTTTGAAAGTAAAGCAGCCTGTGGCAGGCCAGAATGAAGACCTTTGACAGTTCAGAGGATGGCTACACACTGCTGTCAAATAGGTGTTGGAGCAGCGGACAGAGCTGTTTGGACTCCCCCAACCATGATGAAGTTTGCAGCTGAAAATAGGTGTTCTGCCCTCAGAAATCAAGGCCTTTGGAGTTGAGCAATGCCAAAGCATTGGGCATCAATAGGCCAGAGAAGAATGACAAGGAACATGAAGGTGAAGAAAATACTGCACTGAACACAGGATCGACAGGCAGAATTGAAGATGAACTAAAGATGGTGGCAGCGTAGGAGTTCCTCTGCTCTGCCTGTTCTTTTATTTTCTCTTTTCGTTTCTCCTTTTCTGGAGTTTTTTTTTCAAACTTTTAACTTTAAACTTTTACTTGGAGGGGAATGGAGGAGGCGACTTCCGGACCACAGGCAGCTATGGGAGGTGAGTCCTGGACTGGAGGCTGCAACGGGGAGATGAGGCCCTTGCAGACAGGAGGCTAGGTGCTGACATGGACCTGGGTGAAAAGGACTGTAAATTACAGTACTTTTGTTTTCATTTTATTCTTCTCCTGGACTTTTATTTATTATTCTTTCAGTTTTGTACCAAATACCTAAGTATCTGTACCTAGGTATCTTTAACCTAAGCTGGCGCCATAAGTGGTGTGATTGCAAACTTTTCACTGCACTCATTCGATTCAATTCCATTCAACTTAAGAGACCTGGACTGAGGACGAGTGCTGAAAAAGATTAAACAGTGTCAGCAGATATTCATGCACCTGTAACCTTGTCATCTTCGATTTTTGAGACAGTTTGCAGGTTGCTGCGCACTGGTGTTTCACCAAGGTGTCAGGTTCATCAAGGATCAGCTTTAAAACAATTGTGGCATTTCAGTCAGTATGACACTGGGTCTTTGTGCCTGGCTTAGGCGACAGTGCCCTACAATATCCTCTAGCATGGATCTCCGTCATCATGCTCTTCAAAACATGACTCTCCGGTGATGTGAGCTTTGAAAAAGATCAGATATCCTGGAAGAGGACAGCACATCAGGGGAGGAATAGAAGGCAATAGAGAATGAGGAAGTGGAATTAGAGGCAGAATGAAAAGATTGAAGAGAGAGCTGCCTTTCAGAATGATAAAATGGCTTCTTTTAGCCACCTCTGGAAAAGAAACTTTCTTTCACTCAACATACAAACATTAGAATCAGGAACAGGAGCAAGGCGTAAGCACCTATTGCAGTTCATTAGAATTATAGCTGTTGTACTATTCCATATTCTCACTATTTAGATAAGTTTTTTTTTGTATTCTTCCCACCATAATGGACAATTTCACGTTTTCCACATTGTAATCCATTTGGCAGATACTTGTCCACTCACTTAACCTATCCATATCTCTTTTAGTCTCCTTATGTCATCTTCAAAACTTACTTTTGTACCGAGTTTTGTATCATCAACAAATGTAGCAGCTATATCTTTGGTTCTTTCACCCAAATCATTTCTATAGATTGAGGACCAATACTTTCCAGTGGCATACAATTTGTTTAATCTCGTCAGCCTGAATAAAAGCAACTACCTTTGTGGCACCTTATCAAGTGTCTTCGGGAAATATAAGTGCAGTACATCCACCGTTCCCCTTTGTCTACAGGACATGTTACATTTTCAGAGAAATCCGGTAAATTTATTAAACATGTTTTCCCTTCTCAAAGCCATGTTGACTCTATCTGATCACCTTGAATTAGATGCTGTGCTGTTAAGCCTTCAATAATAGCTTTTAACATCTTCTCTGTGCCAGATGTGATGCTATGGTTGGTTCGCTTGCTGAGCTGGTTTGTTAGTTTGCAGATGTTTCATTACCTTGCCGGGTAACATCATCGGTGCAGATGAAGCGTTGTTGTGTTTTCCCACTTGTTATTTAAACTCTGGGGTCCATCGGGGTTGATTACCTCATTTCTGGTTTTTCTTTGCAGTGGTGTGTTTTTAGAGTCTATTTCTACGTGTTTATTGTTGGCCTTCTTGATGGAGAACCAGGCCTCTAGAAATTCCAGTGCTTGTCTCTGTTTGGCTTGTCCCAGGATCCTGACGTTGTCTCAGTCGAACTAGTGGTTCTCCTTGTCTGTGTGTTTGTTCTTTTCTTCTTCTCTGATGAATTTGATGCCGGTGAAAATGTTGTTTATAAGTTGGTGTGTTTCTTCTCGTTTAGTCCGTTTGATGATGGTGAAAATGTCATCCACGTTTTCGCATTTCTGCATCACTGCTGTTAGTCCAGAGATAGGTGACCCCATAGGTGTTCCATTGATTTGTTCGTAGATCTGGCCGTTAGAAGTAAAGTGGGTCACGAGGCATAGGTCCAGTAATTTCAGCATGTCGTCTGTGAAGATGGTGTTACTCGGGTCTGGTTCTTTCAGTGGTGTTGCTAGTGTTTCTCTTGCTGATGATTTGTCGATCGATAAGAATAGGGCAGTAACGTCAAAGGACACCTTGGTCTCATCCTTGTCTATTCTTATGTCTTTGAGGGTTTTGAGGAATGCCTGGGCTGAGTGGATTGAGTTGGTTGAGTTGCTGATGAGGTGCTTTAGTCTTTGTTGTAATTCCTTGGCTAACCTGTGTGTTGGTGTGCCTGGGAGAGAGACTGAATCTGAGGAGTACTTCCGGTTTGTAGATTCTGCAGCCTCCCAAAGATACACAAACTGGAAGTACCTCTCAAAGGGAAAAGATCTTTGCTATTCACCTCATGTATACCCCCCATGATTTTATAAACCTCTATAAGGTCACCCTAAACTTCCTAAGCCCCAACAAAATAAGTCCCAGCCTATCCTTATAACTCAACCTCCACTGTCGGCAATATGCTGGTAAATCTTTCCCGAGCCTTCTCCAATTTAATAATATCCTTCCAATAGCAGAGTGACTGAAACTGTATATAGCACTCCAAAAGTGGCCACACCAATGTCCTGTACAACCTCATTTTGACATTCAGACTCGTCTATGACTGATGTAAAAGACATTAAATCTCACCTTAACATTGTTCTTTGTAAACATTGCCTAGCTTTGATACCATCAATTTACTCTCTTCAAAGAAAGAAATGTTGAATCAATCAATTCTCGTAAAATATGGCAACATTATCTCTCTCTGTCCCTACATGCGGGTACCATTAAAATTGGAACATTTTCTGTATGATTCTGAGCTCTATTGAGAAACAACTGCACATAATCTGTGCTTATTTGCATTTAATGACCTTTTACAAAAATCTTGAAGTGTTAATATATGTTTTATATTCGTATCTGGAAAGACCTTTATAGTGTTTTTGTATGTTTGAGAACAGTGATGACCCTTACCATTAGCAGACTGCTTATTCAGTTGTTATTATTCAAACAATGTCATCATAAGCCAGGTTCTTAATTCATTAACTGGTCACACAAAATCTGTGTAGTTTTATCTATGATGTTGATTCTTCATCTAACCAATTGAATTTTATATTTACTGAAAAGGTGAAAAACTTTTCAGAAGAGCTCTTCCATTTGAATTTGCTGAAGAAGCAAGAAGAAACCCTTAAGAAACAGAGAGAGGAAATGACCAAGGAAAATAATCACTTTTGCGAAACTCTAGTAAGTGTTTTTAATTCTGGCACTTGTATCTTATCTTTGTTAAAGGTGAGAATATTATAGATTAAGATAAAACATAATGAACTTTAACCAGTTTCACCAGTCAGGAGAGCAGATTAAAGAATGAAGTGAGCATTTACAATATGCTAAGTATTTTTCCAATTCTCCTTACTGCAATACAGCTGTCTGTTTTGAAAAAGGATTCCCCAGAACATGTACCTGTCTACACAGATACACATTATCGTGCTATGTGAGTCTACGATACTGTTTTTGTGTATTTGTTTCTCCACGTTCAAGTTTAGTTCTTGCCTTTTACTGCAAGCCCTTGTAATTCTGTAATATCAGAAATCTTTTCAAAGCAGAAATTCAGAAATAGTTTATTGTGGAATGCTAAACTTTGTGCACTTATTGAAATTCAAAGGCTCACTTTAATCTTCTCACTAGTTGCCTTTGTGAAAGTGGTAGTAGGCCTTCTAATTGAACAATTGCTATCTGTGTGGTTGGTGAACACATTCCTACAACACATTAGGTTAAAGGTTCCAAATTTTTGATCATGGTAACGAAAGCAGAACGAGACATAACCAACTTGTTCTTCAAGAAAGCAAATTTATGGATGAATACAACTGTAGATAATGTTTTACAAACTTTTGTATTTATTTTCAGAGTGACTAATTAGAAACATTTACCTCCTAAACCAACAATCATAGTTTGCCTGAATCCGTTTAAAGAAATTGAAGTGAATATGCAGTTAAGGCCTTCTACCTGCATATAAATAAAATATAATTGAGATTAGATTTTCACTTTAAAATGAAGACTTTGATATGTATGAATAATTAAAATTTCAGACCAAATTAATCAAGAACTCTATATTCTGTAAAATAATTGCATTTTGAAATCCACTACTGTAGGATCCCTTGCAATCACATCTTTATAAAATTTGATGATGTGCATTCTATCCATTTAGTTTAGGATTCATTATTCTCTGCAGTCAAGCCAGCAAAGGCAATCTATAATCTTTTCCCACTCATTTCATAAGATATTTTTATCCCAGAAGACATCTATGTAACATAAAATGGGTATACCATTCAATAAGCATTTGATTGAGTGTGACAGAAACAAGTTACTGGAACACATTGAGTTGTATATACAAAGTCACCTTTTTCGAGCAGTGGGGGAGAATTGTGTGTGTGGGAGTGTGGTAGGTGTGGGGGTGAGGGATTAACTGCTCAGAATCAGTTTTTTATTAATTCATCTTTGAATTGACTAGTCATGTGTGTTCAGGAGAGTTGTTGCAATGTCCAGATTTGTTCCTGGGCAGGAACAGTACAACAGAAGCTTCTAATCTGCCAAAAGAGCATCTCTCTTTCTTTCTCTCTCTCTCGCTCTCTCTCTCTCTCTCTCTCTCTCTCTCTCTCTCTCTCTCTCTCTCGTGCTTTCTTTCTCTCTTTTTTTTTCTCTCACCATTCACCTTTCTCTCTATGTCTCTCTTTTTATCTCTCTCTCTCTTTTTATCTCTATATCTCTGCTTTATGATAAATTAATACTTATTGAAAGGCAAAAGTTCAGAAACCTTCAGAAGCACAGAGAGGATAAGTCCTAATCAGTGAACGAAAGACTGAGATTTTGTGTATTCAAAACCTTGCATCTTTACCAAAGAATTGGAAGGAGTTGAAAGAAAACAACTTGTTGATGTCTATCTTTCGGACTGGTACCCTTAATTTTCCATTCCCCACCCATAATATTTGTGTATTGTCTTGTCTCTTTGTTTGTCTCTTTGTATGTGTATGGAAATTTTTAAAATGTCGAAAGTTCAATTGATGTAATTATAGGTTAGCAATTCATGGTTCTTTCCTGCTGTTAGTAGTGATAGCAGGCCTGAGTTGATGTTCAGTCAGAGATCAAGTAAACATGCATTGTTGGACAAGGAGAAAAACTAAAATTATACTGTACCCCAGCAACTTGACTACAGTAAGGGTATTCAAGGGTCACAGAAGTAATTTTATAATGAGGTTGCAGCACCTGGAATATTGCAAAATATGGATTAAGGCAATAGTGGAAAAATTTTAAAGCCTAACCAATCAAATAGGAGAAGAAAGTTAGACTATTAAGGCTGCAGAAGAAGCAAAAGATCCATTAATTAAACTGCAGTAGAGACAGGAAAATGTATTAAATCTGCAGGCAGCTGGACTCGTACAGGAAACAGCTATAAGGCAATAAGTATTATTAGTAGCTTTGCAGACAGCATGAATCATTAAGGAGAATGGGGTTCATCGCAAGAAGCAGGATTCATTCAGAAAAGATGTTAAGAGAATGGAATTCTTTAAAGCTGCAGGCTGTTGGATTTATTCGGTAAAACCATTAAAGAGAATGGAAATTGCTTATTAGGTTGTGTAAAGGCAGGAACAATCCATTGTACTTAATCCTCCATTTTACTTGCAGAATGCAAAAATCCTCTATTCTAATCACAGTAGGCAGGAATCCTTCATTTTGTTCACGTATGTGTAGGAAAACCCTGCAGTACAGCAATACACAATGACAATATTGCTATACTGCACAATTAAATCCTTCAAAGTAAGCAGAATAAAACAGCAGAAGAATTAAAAACCCTTAAAGTAAGGAACAATAACAATCACACGAGAAACTCATGGCAGCAGAAATAATATTACTGGGAAGATTTACTTTGAGATAAACCAAAAATAAAGCACAATTTTGAATATCTTGGAGAAAACTGTTCTTAAGATAAAAAATTTCTTCAAACTAGATACTAAATTAGAAGCTGAACAGATAAATACAAGTTTGTGTTTATTTGGCATCATAGCTGATGATAGTATAACTCAACAAAGAAGCAGCAGGTAGATTTGATGAGGTTCTGCAAATTTTTGAGTTACCTTAACCTTAGAACAAGTAAAATTCTTGAAAGAGTAATATTTATCAGAAGAATTTAACATCCAAGGAATCCAAAGATAGTTCTATTTGAGATCTTTGCAGGTTAGTGGGAAAATGTGTCTATGTAGTTTTGGTATCTGATTCTGTAGGAGACAGAATTGTTGCAACTACTCGGGAGTCTTTTTCAGATTTATTTCAATCCAAGGAAGATTTGACTTTGAAGAAAGCTATTCATGTGTTGAGTGATGCAGAACTCTAGAAGATAAACCCTAAGAGGCAAGGAGAAACCATGTTGGAGCAGAATCCATTCAGTTCTTAACGAACTAAAAGAGTAGTTGGTCAAACAACAGGTAAAAGGAGTCATAAAACATAGAACATAGAACAGTACAGCACAGTACAGGCCCTTCGGCCCATGATGTTGTGCCGAACGTTTACCCTAAACCTAAGGTCTATCTAACCTCCATCCCTACCTTATACTATCATCCATATGCCTATCTAATAGCTGCTTAAATGCCCCTAATGAGGCCGACGCCACTACCCTCTCCGGCAATGCATTCCACGCCCCGACCACTCTCTGAGTAAAGAACCTACCTCTGACGTCTCTCCTATATCTACCTCCACTCACTTTAAAACTATGCCCCCAGCTACTGCCACCCTAGGAAAAAGACTCTGGCTATCCACTCTATCTATACCTCTGATCATTTTGTACACCTCTATCAAGTCACACCTCATCCTTTGTTGTTCTAAAGAGAAAAGCCCTAGTGCTCTCAGCCTTTTCTCGTAAGACCTTCCCTCCATTCCAGGCAACATCCTGGTAAATCTCCTCTGCACCTTTTCTAACGCTTCCACATCTTTCAGTGTCAATGCTGTGAAGCCAAGAAATTTTACAAGCCGTTTTCTCATCAAAACCAGATTATCTATGCAAGGACAACTAACAATTTCTTTGGTCAAACATTTCTCTTTGTAAAACAATCTTGATAATTGATGACTTGGCAGCACCCATTTTATTTTAGAAATCTCCTAAATCTCACGAATTAGTTTTCACACTAGCAGGGTCAGTTCTCAAGCTTGTTTCTTTGACACCCTTTGTTGAATTAACAGTTTCCCAATGAGAACAATTCTTCAAACATTCTATGGACTGATTTTTCTCATATTGCCCCTTCAGAATATTAGAGAAGTGCAACCCCATATCTGTTGCTTTCACTAATGCTAATGTCTCAGCAGATAAGGTGCTTTTTAACTATCCTCTTTATTTGCTTGTTTTCTCAGGCCAATGGACATTTATTATTCTTTCCCACCAATAATTTAATATATTCTGTTTTCCTAGAATATACATCTGGTAGATTGGCATGTGAAGCTTTGCTTAAACTGACTACCATCCAAGGTTATCGTGCAAAGCTAGAAAATTGATAAGCTACAAATGTACTTGTAGCCAAAGAACATAAACGTTTATTCCAGGAACTCAATCAATTTGTTTGAATACAACCAAGTCATCAATATATATAACATAGTTGTATAATCCTTCAATTAATTGGTTGGTTGGTTGTTGAAATATTGCTGGCTCATGTTGCATTTACATTGATAAGGGAATGTTTGACATAGCTTTCTCAACTCAGGATATGTTTGCTGTCTTTCTGATAAAGAAGAGGAGTGAAACATGTCAGCCTCATTCTCCTTTCCTTCATTCTTTTTACTTAAGATTTTGAAAATAGTGTCAGATACTCAATTCCTATGTCATATCCCTTTGCATAAACTCTTCCCTTCGTCTAATTTTATGGGCCTGAGAACTAGTCACAACACAGTCAGGAAACAATTCAGAATGTTCCTTCTGTGGCATTTCAATTTATTTCACTTTCACCAGTTGTCCCAATACTCTGAGAGGGGCCAGTATTTTTTCAACCAGCAAATCTCTCCCCAAAATAGTCATTTTTTTTTTTTTTGTAGAATTTGTTGTACTACTCCACTACAACCTCTCCACTTACTAAATCATTCTTTAACTCTATGTAATGGGACCAATTTTATAACCTCCATGTATACCACAAGTTAATTGGGTGAAAATGAGAATAAGAAAGGTTTGATCAACTTATTGGGATTGCACTATAGACACTCCAATACTC